GTCAATTCTGGATGTGATGAAAGCATAGATGAAGGTCTCAGCAGCAATAGTTAAGTACCAGTATAGATGTTGCTGATCTTAGTATATATATCCATACATACATATTCACACACACATATCATCACACAGTTGTGATATTAGATAGCTTTATATTACAGTTCCATACTGTATTATTATTATTAAAGAAAGTCTATCTTTTCTCCAATAACTTTGACTTTTCATTGTTTTTTTAAGTTACCTTTCACAATATTCTCAGTGTTCCTCATAAATCTGTTTTTGTTGGGTCCCACTCGTTCACTGTATAAACACGCAGAGCTACAAACCTTCATAGACTTGTATGAAGTCACATAAAAAGCTTGGTTGCAAACATTTACAAACACAAATCTGATGTCCAGTTGACACCAGAGTTATTATAGTTTTGTATTTTTCATTAGTTCTTAACTTTTGTATTCAATTCAGTTGAGCTTCAGTTAGTTTACAGAGTGGATCAGTTTAGTTTTTTATTAGTTTAGCTTGTTGTGTTGAGAAATTTGATGACATTTCCTGTAGCTATAGTTTTGTAAGTACACAATATAATTTCAGTTAGGGTCTAGATAGTTCTAATTTTCATTTCAGTTAACTATTTCTTTCACAGTATTTGGTTTAGTTAGTTAGTAATAAAACAATGTATTTATTTATTGAGTTTAAATCACCATTTGGAGGCTTCTCCAAGCAAATGTTTATATGTGATTGATTGTGATTAAATCATCATATACACATATTTATGCCACCCTTTATCTTATATTCACCTGTCTTTGATGTACTGTGTTGAATTTTGACAATTGTATGAAGAGTTTTTGGAGACTTTTGGTTGCTAATAATACATCAAAACAACAGAGAACAGCTGAAAGTCCTCCCATTCTCCTCGTAGGTCATGTATCCCTCACTAGTCTCCCACACTACAGTAGTTTTGGCCACTCAGTCTTAAGCGTTGTCGTCTAATTCGATCCTCTGCAGCCACCATAGATAGCGAAACGACTGTAAGACATTTCCAGATTAAAAACTGTACCAGATGAGCATTTAAACAGTGATTTCTCTCAGTGTGTGAGAATGTTATTATCTGCGTGCATCGCACAAAGGAAGTCATATTGCATCACGTGTGTATTTTTTCAAAGCCGTGCTGGCGGGGTCAGAGTTCAGTAAATACTGATGATGTCATCGTCTGAAGATGGCTGAAGGGTGAGAGTGAACTCGCAAATTACTTTTTGTTTGAAAATACAAGTAATGTAGGAGAGAGCCCCGACCCTGTGCACACACACCGTGTCGCTCGCTGCGCTGTGTGTCCAGCACTCTGTGATGTGACTGCACTGTTTGAACGCTGCTCGCTGCAGCTCACGGAGTCCGTTCAGGAAGTGCATTTGTTTACCAAAACATAGCCTGGCTAGCCTTAGCATAGCCTGGCTAGCTGTGGTGTAGAGCAGCTTAAATCACGCAGCAACGCATGAACAACAATACAAACATACAACGTGTTTCATGTTGACGTCTAGCAGCCATGTTCCGCCCTGCCGCTCGACTTGTTTCGACAAGTTAGCCTGCGCGGCGCTGGTATTGGACGTTAGCTAACTCGCTTAGCTTGCTACGCTGTGTGTGTGAGTTAGCTACAGATAGCTTTTAGAGTCAACAGCTGACAGTGAGTCCGAAGTGCTGCTCAACTGGAGAGCTATTGTTGTGAGCGTTTGATGAATGTACAGCGGTTGTCCAGTTTGTGCAAGTGTTTTCTCTGCTGGTTTGGTTTGACGTTAGCTGATTTTTAAATGTGTGCATGATTCCAGAGAAGGTTGGTGGGGAGGCTGGCTTCAGCAGAGCTTCCAGGCCGTCAAAGAAAAGGTAATCATCATCATCATAATAGCTAAATCATCCACATCGTGTACATTAGTACTTTTAACTTTACTTACTTTAAATGTTTACTAGCAGCTCAGCATTTACAATGTTTTGGCTGATGTTGCTGTTATGAATATTTCATTAACTCTAACCACAATTCTCCCTTCAGTGTTTAGATTTCATAAAACATTACAGTAAATACATCTACAGAAAGTCAACAAAGGCTGTTTTCCCCCCACAAATAACTCCAGAAAAGTTAACCGCACATATTCCATATCTGTTGTCACCTTTTCAATGGTGGCATTAGAATTGGGTTGAACCTCTGTCAGTAAAAACTGGTTGCACAGCATTGTTGAGGTCAGGAAAGGTTTGTACATCTCGTGTACAAAGAAATGTGAGCTTTGATGTTCCAGGGGGAAAAAATATGAATAGATTAATTCACAATGTTACTCAAAAGCCAGAAGTAAGTCAGAACTCATGGATAAAAGTAATTTTTTACTGCTTTTCTTTAAGTTTGTTACATTCATCATATCTTTACATGTATTGTTGGTGTGAACTGTATTCACCTGTAACTATTGTGTAATTTATATGTGATGTTTCTATGTATATACACGCTTGTCTGCCACAAGAATGGAGATGATGAAATTGAATCTGGATGTTGATCTTCATTTTTTGACTCTTCTTTGCAGTCATCTGAGGCCTTAGAATTCCTAAAGCGAGACCTGACTGAGTTTTCCACTGTGGTGCAACATGACACAACCTGCTCAATTGTGGCTACAGCCACTGCTGTCAGGAACAAACTTGCAGTGAGTTGCAGCCTTCACCTGGTGCATTGTTTATTTTAACCAAGTATCTCCTGACAGCTTGCACTCAGTTGACCCTTGTCATATGCATGTCTTCCATATGAATCAAGTATAAGATGCTTAATACAAACGGTATATTCCAGGTGGAAGGTTCCTCTGAGACCACAGAGAAGGTGAAGAAGAGCCTCTCTAGTTTCTTAGGGGTGATATCAGACACACTTGCTCCACCACCTGATAAAACCATTGACTGTGATGTGATCACATTGGTGGCAACGCCAGCGGGAACCACAGAGGTTTACGACAGCTCTAAGGTGGGCACTGAGCAGTATTTCTACTTGTACTTTTACCTGAATAAAACACTTTAGAGTCACCTGTTAATACAACAGGTTGAGTTCTAAATGATAAAACAGAGCTAGGCATAATACTTGTCCAGGGTTTTTGTGAATAATGAATTGAGCAGAAAATGTAACTTTCTGGTTAATCTCCTTGAAAATATTAAACAAAGTGTTGATTCAGGACTGACTTTATTTTTGTTTCATTATTAGAGGCAGCAGGACTGTGAAAGTGAGCACATGATGTGCATGTGGAAACAAAACCACCACAGCTAAACATTTGTTTTTCCTGCAGGCACGTCTCTACAGTTTGCAAGCTGACCCTGCTACATACTGCAATGAGCCCGATGGTAAGACAACACACAGTGAAGTAGAGCAAAGCCTCCACTGGAGTTTTTGAATTGTATTAGTTGTGTTATGCAAGTAAGGTTTTATTTAATTTGTTATAGGATATTGTGTTTTTAAGATACTTAATATCTATACTAAGTAAGGTATTATTTGAATGTTTTCCCATCGGGTGAATGTTAAAGATTACTTACTGTCCACACTATGTATCTTTTTTGTACTTTTGCTGCTGCTACACATTAATTTTCTATTTTCTAAATGTTTTTTACAATAATGTTATTATCCGCCCTAAAAAGCTCCCCTTACAACCTGAAGTCAATTTTGTTCAACATTCTTAAAGCAAAGCCAGCATTTGAATGCTAGTGAGTCATGGGACTATTAATCAGTGCTGAATTATTATTTTGGTGGATTTATATGAAAATGGGATAATTGTAAACCGTATGGGATAATGCTTGCGTTCTAAATTTGCAAATGTTCTTTGGTATCTTTTGAGTGCATTTTAATGAGAGCTTATTTTTCTGCAGGTCCCCCAGAGCAGTTTGACAACTGGCTGTCCAGCTTCAGTCTGGAGGATAAGAAAGGAGAAATCTCAGAGCTTTTGGTCAACAGTCCCTCTATACGAGCCCTTTACACCAAAATGGTATTCTTACATTTGGTTACATTACATTCATTTGGCTTTTGTTGAAAGTGTCTGTTTCAAAAGAACAAAAAGGACAAGAACTAGATGTCATAAAAATATGGAAGTGCAATAAACCAGAAAAATATATTTTTCTTATTCACAGGTGCCAGCAGCTGTAGCCCATTCAGAATTCTGGCAGAGGTATTTCTACAAAGTCTTCCAGTTGGACCAGGTAATCATTCTGTTTTATATAATGTACTATGTCAAGAAGCCTTTCCCATCAGCCCAAATCATTGTCTTGGGTGCCACCTGCTGGCCTATTTTGGATTAATCATTTTAGTGCAAGGTCACAATGCAGGATTTTCCCTGCTTTGAAATAAGGGGAAGGTGGTGTCTGTAACCTACTGAATGTTGATTTGTTTAGGGAGAATATAAAATGTAAAACATGCTTGAAGTCTAAAGTCCAGTGGCTCCATCTGCCTGTTGTTCCTGTAGAAAGCAATGTCACTGGTTATATGTTACATGATCTTAAGACACTAACTGAAAAACTATTGGTGTTAATAATTTATTTATTATTATTATTATACATTTATTTAATTATTATTATTTACACTTTTTTATTAACAATAGAGATGTTACAAGGATATTACACAGTAAATTATTATAATACATGTTTACAGACCACCTGATGTGTTACACAAATACCAAACAATGGAGATCTTTTTCAAAATAAGCAGAAATAGCGAATGCAACCTTCAATCAGTCTTATCTCTGTGAAGCTAACTGTATCATATTCTGGTGTTTAACGCTGTGTTAGAGAGGTATCGATTCAATTCTGAGGTCATTTTGGAAGACAGTCTGTGGTGGTGTTGTTCTTAATAGAACCAGGTTTCTAAAATATATTTTATATATAAATATATATATATTTTTAACACCATTGACAAGGAGAACTAAATGTTACCTTTCTGTATTCAACAACTTTAAGGTAGCACAGAATTTTATCCACCTTAACATTTTCTTATTCAAGAAAAACAAATGTAACATTCATTACGTTCAGAGCGTTGCTAATCAGTCTAATGATGCACACATGCACACATTCTTGCATTCTTTAAAACACTGATAGTTGACTGTGATTGTGTCTTCTAGGAGGAGGCCAGGAGAGTGGCACTGAAGCAGAGGGCGGAGCAGACCACACACACCGAGACGCTGGGCTGGGAGGAGGAGGAGGAGGGTATGTTATCCTCAGTTTTACATCGTTAATAAACTGATTAACCTTTAAACTATACACTTACTCTGGTGTTCCTTGTTGTCTCTGTCAGATGACTTCCTCGGCGCCACATCATCATCTCATCTCAACTTCACACCGCCCTTGGACAACAGCTCCACCCAGCTGCCCACAACCTTGACAGGAACAGGAACAACTCTGCTGAGCCCTGTGCTGTCTCCCAGCGAAGAGCGCAATGCCACCCTCTCAGTTAGCAGCGACAGCGTCAGCCTGCCAACGCAGGTGGAGGTGCGGCCAGAGCCAGTTGCCGTGGAGCTTGCCAAGAAACTGACAGAAGCCAGCTTGGAAGATGTTGCAGACAAGACACAAGAAGAGCATAGGCCTGGAAAGAGTGACTTGCCTCTTGAGGCTCAAGTGGAAGCTGTAGCCCAGCCAGAGGTCACCGTTGACGGGGCATCAGTGCGCGCTCCTGCCCCCGCCTCTAAACCAGAAGCAGCAAAAGAGGAGGGGCCACAGGACCTGAGAGTGTTCGAGCTTAATTCCGACAGCGGGAAATCTACGCCCTCTAACAATGGCAAGAAAGGTACGTTGAGAACTGTTTTCAGTTGGCAATGAGAGTCCTACTGTTACAGTTTGGGAGTAGAAATCCAAACAGGATTAAGTTCAGCAATGGCAGTTTTCCACTAAATGGGCTAAGAAGAAGCAGGAGAGTCGAGGTCATAGAAAGTTCCAAATTTGTCTTTCCCCCTCCAGGTTCCAGCACCGATGTGAGCGAGGACTGGGAGAAAGACTTTGACCTGGACATGACAGAAGAAGAAGTCCAAATGGCACTCTCTAAAATAGAAGCTTCTGGAGAGGTAAGTTACCATTGTGACATTTACCACAATCTTAATTAAAATAAAAATAATCAGGAACATTTTATTAACCCCCCACCTTTTTTTTTTTTAACCAGATGGACGAAGACTGGGAGAACTGGGACTGAGAGCCACTGCAACACGAACTCTGTCCCACCATTAAAGCTAGTTCTCAGCAGACGAACCATGCTTAACGTGTTTTAACTCTTTGTCCACACTGTCACCATGTCATGATCGTCAGTAGGGGATTTTCCACCGGGTTTGGACCATATTGGTAAACCTGTTGACAAGAACAACAGGAAGACCAAGGCAATAAGAATTCGACTGCTCCTGTCAGTTTAGTGCAGATAGGCCGCTAGCGAGGGTAATGACTCAGGTCTTGGCTATTTCTTCTGACTTAGAGAGCATAAGACACTAGTAATAGAAAGAGGTTGTTCTCATTCTGACCCTTAAAGCTTAAGAACAAGCAGTGACAAGTCAAAGAGTGTGAAATGTTTCACTGCAGCAAGGGAGGAGCTGATTTCCCTTTTTCTTTATGGCATTAAATGCATCATGTATGTTGCAAGTATATTTCCAGTTAGGCAATGACTTAACTGCAGGCTGCAAAATAGCCATAAACTCAAATGCTGCTTGTCACCTTTCTAAGATGAAATACTCCACAAGTGATTTTTGAACGGTGAAGATCGATTTGATTTAATTCTACCTGTGCCCCCTTTCTTCCTTTCTTTCTTATGCAAGTGAATCTCCAAACTGAGAAGAAATGTTTTGGCCTTCTTTCATAGAGCACTCTTCATTTTGGATTCACTCCCAACTTTAGATATATGGCCTTGTAAAACACACAGTAGTGTGATAATGTTATCCAAATGTTTTTCTTACAAGTCAGTCGTCTGAAACACAACCAGCTAACGTGTCATTATCCGTTCTTTCCCCTTTCTATCATATCACATGATTTATTTGAATATATGAGCTTGTTGCGGACTACATGTCACTTTTTTGTGTCTCACTTCTTTGAGTTGTTTATCCGTTTGTCTTAATCGGGTAGAGGGAACTTATTAATTATCACTCATTAAGAGAGAAGTCGCATTTGATTCAATAAAGAGAATTCAAACTGGTCCTGGTGTCATGATACCAGATTCTTTGGCTTGAAATTGAGGGGCAGCATCTTGTTATTTACTTGTATTGGAGAATATGACAAATCTGTGGCGTTTGAAGTTTCTCTGCTGGCCAATGTTTGGATTGAAATAGCTCAGCAGGCAGTGTGCCAAGTAGACCAAGGAGCAACGTGAGCACTCCATGCTTTCCTGATTTCCTTTTCCATCATCTGTAATGTAACTGAGAAAAAAATAATCCTAGAGATGTAATATTTATACTAAAATAAATGCTTAATTATTGTATTATGTGCTTTGGATTGCATGTCTGTGCAATAACATGCAAAACATTGTGCAGATGGTTACTGTTGAGTTGTATGTTTGACATTGGCTGTTCTTCAGGTTTTTGTGTTCTGACAATGTGTTGCATGTCTATAATTCTCGGCTGTGTATTCCCTTCAGATCGACACTTTGAGCTGATCAAAGCTACTCTAAACACATCTGTTTTCAAAGCTGTCAAGTTTCTTTTTTTTAAGTCAAGTATTTCACTATATTTTTCAAATGATCATTGTCATTAAAGAATTCATGGCAAATGGGCTAAGTGTCATGCATTACGAAATTATCCAGTATGGTCATTTTACTACTAAAGAAGAAAAACCAGACCAAGCTTCAAAAACATTACAATTAGTGGAACATTGCGTATATTCGATTACGGTGCAAGCAGTGCCCCGGAAATCACCACTCATACCAAAACTCAGCACCAAATGTGTGCTTATAATCCAGGTTGTCTAGCTACTGTGTAGTACAAAGGTCTATCAAACAAATAATAAAGTGGAATTTCACTTTGAAAAGTAAAAGAATTCCTATAAGACTGGTCCAAACTTAAGCTGAAGGAGCCCTGAAATGGTTTTAAAAGTACCAGGGAGATGCCACTACAGAGGAGTTTTATTGTGATCTGTGCCCCCATAAAGAATTATATTGCTGTCTGTGGGTGGGGACTTTACAGAGGAACAGCTGAACAAAATACTCAGTTTGGGGAAACTGTGGGTGGACACTTCTGGTTTGTCAGACTCAGAATGATATACAGAATATACTGAATATCATTGACACATTCTGGTCAGTCTGTTTTGCATGTTGAATACTGTGGGCTGCATGTTCAGTTGTAATGACAGGATAGCAATGCTTTGACATTAAAGACAAATATTTCACCCCTTAACATACAATTTTTCTCTTTATTTATCCTTAAATAGCTTTAAGGTTGGAATAAAATACACTAATAGCACACTGATATAATCATAGGTCTTTCAGAGTGAAATATTAAAATCCAAGATGATACCATTAAATTTCATTTCTCCAAAGTTCACCTTGATATAGTTGGTATGTTTGGGAACTTTGCGTCTAGAATTGAAAGTAAAGTTTGAAAGGTTTATGATGAATGGCTCACTGGTTTGTCAGTGAGGTTTAAATAAATGTGAATGTGTAGAAGACTTTAATGTTTATTTCTATATGTAGTGTTGATCTTGCGTGGTGATGCAGATTTCCAGAATTATGAATGTTGATGGTGAAGTATATTACATTGTGAATGGTTGCTTGGTGATGCTGATTCTGTTACAATACTGTTCACAGGCCCTGAGGGGTTATGATGGACTACATAACTACAATTACTTAAAGCTCACGCCAACTACTGTTTGTTGCTTTGTTATGTTTTTTTTATGCTTGCTGCAGCATATAATAAATGAACTGAATTGAATATAAAGTTTTGGAGCTGTATATTTATCGAAGCAGTATGTTAAAATCTGCAGTGTAAAAGTGAGTCACCCGATGGCGCTGTTGCTCCATTTGGGCAGCCTCAGTTTCAACCAGCCACTCCTTTTCTTTCAGCTGCAGCATCCATCTCACAGACATGGATTGGCCACATGTTCTCACATACCATTGTTCATCATCAGTCGCATTAATAATCTCATTTCTGCTATTTCCATTTCCCAAAATCTCCCTGAACTTGCCCTCACTGCATGCCTCAGGGGAAGCAGCAGGCAGCCAGTGAAATGTTTATTTGCTCTTTGTGGTGGCATCAGCTGGGCTAATGTAGGTCACTGTGGAGGGACACCTGTACAGCGTGCCGGCTCTGCAACATGGCTGCTGCCTGTAAAGATGGCTACTGTCTGTGTCTGCCTGGCTTTCTCTCTCTCTCTCTCTCTCTCTCTCACACTGGGTATCCACACAATACCGAGTGTATGGGTGGGTGTGGCCGCAGGGGGGATTGTTGAAACAGACAAGGGGATCCATCACTCTACTGCACCAATGTCAGGACTGTCAGTACAGCAGAAAATTCATAGAAGGCGCCAGTCTTCCTTTCAAATTTCCACAATTTAAGGACGGATAAACAGAACCTTTAACCTTAATCTCCTGCAAGTATGTTAATGGGTATATTCAAAATGATTAGGCATTAGTCAAATTCATGTGTGAGATGTGTTTTTGTAGCCGCAATGAAGCAGTTTTCATTATCAATTAACAGACTAAAACAAAGACTTTACCTTGTTTACCTGCTTATTTATTAAAATGCTTTTAGTGTGCTTTTCCTCTGAAACCCTCACACCCCTGTGGTAATGGCTTGTGCATATGCCGCCAGACCCCAAATAACACAGACACCATATACATTACATTCTTGCTTGCTCTGTTCCCACTCGGAGGTCTTAGTCAGCAAAAAGGCTGTAAAGGAATTTCCTGTTGAAGCCCACCGCTCCCTGGGCCTGTGTGTGTGTGTGCTTTACATTACCAGCAGCTCTCACCGATGTCATGTACAGATCATTTCACCTTGGACAGACAATGAGGGGGGTGGACGCCAATCAGACAGGGGAGAGAAATACTTGCCTCCTGAGGATCTTTTAAGGGGCCCCCCCTTTCCCCTCGTAAACCATCCTTGACCGAACACTTCCTGCTTCTCTTTCTGCCTCTTTGACTTTCTCTCCCCTATCCTGGACCTGTCGGTGCATATATACTGTCACAATCGTAGTCACACTCATTTCTACACACACATAGAAATGCATGTACACACAGAGGGAGTCAGGATGAGGTCATTGTCTTGAGAGTGAGTATTATTCTCTGCACCCTAAAGGGAGAAACCCTGTAACCCCTCTGCCTTTCAATAAGCACAAAAGACTCCCTTTGAGGGAGGAGGCAAACTCCTATGGAATGTGTTACCAGGGTTTTCTGTAATCACTTGCCTCTGAATTCACACCCATTTCATATGTGTGTGTGTATGTTTTCAGTCCTTGCATCTTTGGGCTTTTATGCAGGGTGTGGATTTTTGCTGTGTCTGAATTATGCTCTGTGCATTTCATTCAGCTTCTACATTAGTTCAAATTCTGTATGTGTGGAGTTCACTCATCCTCACAGTTCATTTGGAGAGCTAGTTATACTCTGATAGGAACTGACATCTCTGTGTGAACTACATGTCCAACATAGTTTTCTCACTGCCACAAAGAGAGAAAATGCAAAGTGTTGATCCACTGCTGAAGCTTGTGGGGGAAAAAACAACTTCGAAAGGACTCTTGAGATGCCTCTGGATTTTTCCATGACAAACCATCGCCTTTCCCAATGTCGAGCGGTGGGAACTGGCCACTTTGTTTGTACGAAGCGGTGTCTGGGAGGAATGCAGGGTTTAGTTGGGGAGGGGATGGCAGGGGGAATGTATGATAACTCCCACTCCATTCAGATTTATGGTCAAGACAGAGGGGCTCCTCTGGATGCATGTCAGGGGACTAATAGAACACCGCCCCTCTACTCTGCGCCTGCCAAAGCAAATGTTTAGTCGAATAACCCCTTGCTATTCTTTACATCCTTCTCTGTCTTTTTATTCTGTGTCTTTGTTTGTGCCATCATATGTTAAAGTAGGTAGGAGTTCTTTTATACAGCACTGTGTTCATATTTCAGTCTGCACTTTGTGTGAACTTTGTATTTTGAGTTTCAGACCTGATTATAAACCAGAGTTGGCCGTGATGACTGATTTTCAAGACTGTGAAGAGTCAGTAGTGCGAAAGGGTTCAGGTTTGAAAAGTATTTTAAATGGGTACCTTTTTTCTTCCGTTAATAGTCAGATATTTTGTGAAAATTTAACTTTCTTAGATTGTTGTCTTAGGTTGTTCTTAGACTACTCTCATGTACGTACGGTAAACATGAAGTTAGCTCAGCTTAGCATAAACACTAACTGCCCGCTCGCAGTAGCTTCATGTTTACTGTACAGATATGAGAGTGGTCACCATTTTCTTCTGTAACTCTTGACAAGAAAGCTACATTTCCAAACAGATCAAACAATTAATGGAAGCGAAAAAGTAAATCATCACAATGCCTGAACCCTCTAACACCACCGAAGCAAGAGAGGCCAATATCCTGCCTGTTAGCCCCTTGTGCGACCCAGTATCCCACACACTTTTGCATGAAACTGGGCTGAGCTCCTAAAAGACATTACACACATACATTTTCCAAACTTTTTAATTTTCCTAGTTTTCTTAGACCCTCCCTGGTTAGTATACATTTCTTAAAACCTCTACACTCTCAATTTGTAATGCAAGCTGTCTTTCATATGACTATATACATCACTATGACAGCATCAGGGTTACTTTCTCAGACTTGACAAAGAGAGACTAAAATGTTTTTCACAGGCTGAATAGTACTACCCAGGACAAGTAGTCTGAACTTGATGGGTAAAATTGGTGCAGCATTTAATTGAGCATCTGGAACAATCACTATTATATCAGTCTGAATATTATCATGTAGTATGAGCTGATTAACTAAAAATGTGTCCTCCCCAATCTTTTCAGATGGGATTTTTAAATGTCGTTTAAAGTTGCTTTTCCAACAGGTAGGCTACTGACAAAGACTTCTGTCTTTAACCTGCTGAAATATGTTCAGATTTGTCATCCATTCAACCAGGTTGTAATTACGCTTTCAGTTTAGCAGATCCCTGGGCATAATGTGTGATATGTAGGACATTAAAAGTCTTTTAAAAGTTTTCAAAATTCTTCAAAGCCCATCTGTTCCCTGGTGAACAGACACAATTGCACATACAGCCCTCAGCCTCCGACTCAGCTGTGTTCATTTTATTCTCTGTTCCAATTCTTTTAACAACTAGACCAACCACTTTGAATGTCCTGTTCCCTTCCGTCCCTTCTCCCCTCCACCTCCTCCTCTTTTCATTACTGTCCCATTCATTCATTCATTCATTTATTCTCAGTCTTCTCCGGGACACCAGCGGGCCCATTCATCTCTCTGTCTGTCTCTCCCTCCCTTCCTGGTCTAATCAGGGGACCACACACTCCCTCATTTCATCTGATGTCTGGTAATTGAAGGTGAGATTGTTTTGGTGGTGGAGGAGAGGCAAGGCCGAGGCGAGTTTGACTGTCTGCAGCCATGCAAATTAGACTGTCAAAACTTCACTGTAGTCTCCATTATTCTATGAATAAAAGCCGACGCTAGCTAGCCTGTTACATAAATCTGCCTTCTAAATTGTAGCATCCAAGAGGGAAACCGCTGCAGAATGCTCCCTGGAGACAAGGCAAAGGGTCTGTTGAAGACTTCTGTTGGACTAAGTTTAGCA